AAAAAATCAGATTTTTTAGTGAAGTATTTTAATAAACTAAAAATTATATTTGTCCGTGAATATATTGAGTGATTTTCATGTTAAAGTGATTTTCATGTTAAAATTAACAATACTTCAGCTCAAAAATCTTAAATTTCATTTGTGTAATCTCTAAAACCTCCTAAATACATTCCATACATTGTTTTTAGTAAAACTTTATACTTTATCTGTTATTTTCTGTACCCTGACTAACTCTATACAAGGTTGGTCAATTTAACCAACCTCGTAAACACCAAAAAAAAATTTAAATATATCTAAGTTACCCTTTTTTTCTTTTTAGAATGACTTCAAATTGTAACATGAAACTACATTCGTTTATCCTAAGTAGCTTTAAACTCATAACAGTATACATCTATTTATACTTAAATTTTATTGTTTTGTTGACCTTTGAACCATGTCTAATTACTATTCACAGCATTATAAGTTGTAAATCACTTGGGGAATGTGGAGCTTACATTACTTTATTAAATTACATTACCCACAAGCTACTCTGAGCTGCTTGCAAAGATGCCTCAGGAAACATTTTTATTATATTATTATTATTTATTTTACGTAATCTAATTTTAACTAACCTAAAGATATTCCTATTTCTACATTTCCAGTTACTTTTTTTAATAATAAATAAAGAGTACACATGAAAAACAAGAAATACAGTACTTACCTGGACCTTCTTTTTTTGCTGTCTACTGTCAATGACACCTAACCCTACTTTTTTATTTTCATGGAAGTAATGCACTAAGTAATTTTTTATTTAATTATATAATGCACAGAAGAACATAGAATAATAACATGCAAAAAGCAGACAATGTCCCAAACAGATCACAATCTTTCTGGCTTTGTAACTATGAGGCAAGAGCCATTACAAATTTATCCAAGCTAAAACTTGGAACAAAACTAGTACTAAAAGAGAATTTGACAATTCTCTGTACAGAAAACAACATAATATAATATGTCATTTCATAGATGAAAACCTTGGCTTTCTATTGATTATAAATAATATAATATTAAATGTAAGAGAGAACTATTAACAAATCCTGAAAGAGAGGATATGACAGATGGGTTTGGAAAGAGAGGTCTGATTTTCTATTTGATGGCTCTGTAACCAAGCAAAATTGATCGCTATAAAATTATGCTTTGTTTGGGTGATGAAACCTTTGTAGTGAGTAATTTACATTGAATTTTGTACTTATTGGAGGGGTGGTGAAGAGGGGATGCCTAGAGAAAATATGTCACACTTCCCACACTACTAGGGGAAATTCAGGATTTGGTTTTAATATTGCCTTATAAAATTAAGGATTTAAAACTTTTAAAATAAGGATTATTAGCTACAAATTTGTGCCATAGTAATTGGTATAACATAAACACAAAATAGTTTAACTTTTGAATGCAAGTCACTAAATACCTCGTGACATGCACAGTAAAGGATGACTGTGCAGATAGGGTTAAGCCACATTCATTTGTTGGGAAAATTCTAGAAGATATAATGCAACTTAGCTCATGGAAAAAGGCAAGTTTACTGAAAGTGATAATGAATTATTGTCTTCTCATATTTTTATGAGGTGAACTTAGTTTACAAATGTCAGTTCATAAGGTGTTCTGTTGACTATTGCACATATAACAGTGTCAAGCTGCTATTTGAAACTGTTAACTTGTGATTTGGAATACTTTATCAAAACCTGTTTGCTGATACTATTAGTGATGATCATCAAGAACTCCAAAAGTAGTTTCCTCTTTCTCTAGAATTTCATCTTCTGATGATTAGCTTACATAATTTCTAGATGTGGACATTTCATTATATTTTTCTTCAGTTCTACAGAATGAAACGTGAAAGGAACCATTCTATTCTGTGAATGCTGTTCATAATTTACAACTTTTTTGAAGCTATCACCTGTAAGCTCCCTAAACTATGGTTTAAATTATTTAATGTATCACTTAAGTAATTCCAGAAGTGTTTGAATAATATAACTCTGTTATGGCAGTATGAACATCATTCAACTTTTGTTGAATAATTAACATGGAAACTGGAGAAAACAGCTGACATTTCTAAGTAACAACATTAATGGTTCAAAGAAAACTATATTATGCTCTTATAACAGTGTTAATTTTATGAAAATTTTATGTTTAAGATCACCAAAACTTTGTTTCAATTTATCTGTTGTTATTAAAATAGTGGTTTGAGAATTTTGTTTTATACCCCAGAATATTGTTTCAATATAGCTATTTATTTTACTATTAAATCAGTGTTTTGAGAGTTTTGTGTTTTATATCACTAGAACTTTGTTTCAGTTTATCTATTATATTTTGTTATTACAACAGTGTTTTGAGCCATTACAGAAAATATGGTTTCTTTTCAGACTGTCTTTCAAGAAAATAATAAAGTTACATTGAGGTATGACCTGTTGGACACGCATATCAGCATCTGTTCTCCGCATGTTCCTCCATTGTTTTCTGATAACTTTGATTATCAGACGAGAGATGACTTTATCCGAGGTGTTCTCATTAATGAAGAAGTGAGAATTGACGAATGTTTATATTTTTTGCAAAATAGTTGCATCACCAAGACAGTATTTTGTATAGTCAGGGGAATAATAATTTAACATAGTCTCTGTTTTTTTATTGCTTTTTTTCTCAGAAAGTAACTGACCCTCATATTCATATATAATTCTAAAATAAAAGCAGAGTATTCAACTTTTTTTATTAAAACTTTATTCTATTTTGTAGTCTTCTGAACAGCTGGAAACAATAACAAATTATGGTTACATTGTAGAGCACATTTTAACTTGCTTCTTAGTTGAACTGTTAACAATCCTTTTGGTTTGAGTTGATTTTTCAACCCTTGTTCCCTTGATGCATCTGTAGTGATATTTCCTCTTTATCTCTGGATCATGTTCATAAACCTGAGAAAGGATAAAAAATGTTTTATAAAGAAATGCTCAAATTTTTTAAAAATCTCTTAACATAGTATAGAAATATGAATTATTTTATTTTATGTATATGTCCTGGTGACAAGTTCATAAACTAGAGGGTACCCATGCATTATATCTGAAATAGTCTAGAAATACAGTTCATGTAATAGAAGATGCCTGTGTTATCCTGAAGTACTTGGCTGAACATAAACAATCATCCCTTAGTTTCTGCATATAAGTTTACCTCCTGAAGCATACTATTATAATCACATATCATGTGAGAAGGCATAAATATTAGATAATTAATATTAACCACAGCTCTTGAAACTTATAGACAAAAATAATAGAAATTCAATAATTTGTTTAAATTAATAGATATTTTTCTTTATAGACCTGTATGTTTGGTTTTATTTTTTCCTTCTAGATAATGGGCAACACTGTAAACTTGCATCTTATTGATGATGGCTATGCTGCCCAAGTGTCTAACCTTACTATGTATGATGCCATCAGGTATGTGGAAAACTATAGATCAGATTGCTTCATTGGATTGTCTTAAATAGCATTTATTTTTAGCAAACTAGAATAATGCTGTTTCTGAATTATCAAGCTGTTAGTATGATTTAGTTTACAGTTTTCAGTTAGACTTAGTTACCTTTAGGACAATTTGTGTTGATAAAGTATGCCACACTTTTTTGTTAATAGAATTAATGTATTTTGTATTGGAGCTAAGAATGTTTATAGTAAGTTCTATTTTAGTTTAACAGGTACAGAAAAATAAAGTAAAATATACTAACTGTAAGTCATTGGTATTAGAAGAATGTTTCATTTGAAAATAATTTCATCAAATACAGTTAAGAAAAGCAATGGAAACTCAAAAAAACCAAGTATTAAAGAAAATTATTTAATGGTAGAATTTAAAAGAGCTGTTAATAATAAATAATAAATAATTTTGTTCCATTGTAACAAACAGGAACTTCTTATTTAGTAAACAAAATGATTTAAATTTAGTAAGAATATGCATGTCTTTTGTGATTTTGTCCTAAATAGTTATTTTTTTCTTGTATCAGCCAAGATGTTATTAAAAGGTGGAGTTATCCAGTAGTTCCAGACTTGCTTTCTCTGCCAGGTGGACGTTACAGCTATCTCAGGCACAACATCTACAAACAGAAGGATGTTGTTTTAGAAAGGTAAAGACAGCTGATTTCTACAGATCTTTCTGTAGTTTTAAGGAACTTAGCTATAATATTTTCTTCTTTGTTGTGAAGAACAAATGATTTACGTTTACAAACTGAAGTGTACTTTTTAGAAATAAAACTCAAAAATGTAGTTACAGACAGTCCCAACCCCAGTTCTTAACAGGAAGGATTAAATATATATATATAAATGATGGGGCCAAATTTAAAATTAGATTAATGTAAAGCATTAGCTTGTCCCTCCCCCTGTTTTGAAACATTAAAACAGGTTGAACTTCAAATTCTGATTTGATATCACATTGTTGATTAATATTATAAAATATTACTTTACTGTATTTATGTTTCATTACAGTAAAAATGAAAAATAAAACACGTGGTGTAAAGTTATCTCACCCTTTTAGGTTGTGAAGGCAATGATATTGTGATTTGTTATAAATATGTTCAGTCAGGTTTTTTTGTCTTATTATATTTATTTGGTATTATTTTGTTTTAACCAGAAGATCATAAGTGGAAATAATAACCACTAGTATGAGAAAAATTTTGGATCCTTGCTAGTTTTGTAAAGTTTTACATCATGACTTTCTGTCAGGACCTCCTCTAATACTGCAACTGGGGGACAAACTTGTTGCCCACTGAATGCCAGATTATTACACTGGACAACAACCTCCCAGTCAAAATCAAATGTCATTACCCAAATGAATCATAGATATTCAAATTCAATCACAAATAGGCCTACATAAACGAATTAAATGAACTTTTGCTAGAAACACACAACTGAATAAGATGTTATTTATATTCTGTATACTTGGTGGAGTTGGCATGATATAGCAAAAATAATTGTACATAGAAAAAAAGTGCATTTAACAATATACTACAATTATGTCACACATTTATATGCAACAGAACATCATGACATGATGTCACATGCATGTTAAAAACTTTGTAACATGAACAGTAGATTTTATATATTTTTATTTTACTGGTACCTGAGGATTACAAACCATATCACCAAGTTAATTAAATATCTAATTGGGAAAATGGGTGAAACATCTAAGAAGAAACTAAAGCAGATGACGCTGTTTCAAAATGTATCCAGGAGTGTATTATCAACTGCCACGTAAACAACAGCTCCAATGGCCACCGCGGTGCCTTGTGCTTCTACTGCCAGTACTGGTACCGGGCCTACGTTCACCATGATACCAGAGAAGCTAGAATCATTGTCATTATCTTTCACAGTCTGGTACAGAAGAATGAAGCTGGACAGCGCCTGGTTAAATGAACATTACTTGGGGCTTGTAAATGTAAAGATCAACAAGAGAAGAAGTCTTAAATGTGAACTATGTTCAGAAATATTACTGAGGCTATGAAAGTTGCTCAAAACAGATGAGTTCCTGTGGCTGATAGCAAAAGTTGTGATGGAACTAAAAGATTGATTGACCACTTTCTCACAAATATTCACTCTACATCCTGTGAGGTGGATAAGGCATGTAAGTTAGAGGAAATGTAATCATACAAACATCCATGAGTTAAAGCAGTAAAGGAACAAAATACTAAAATACTCTTGTTAGACTAATAGTAGACATATGCAATGAATCCTTGGTAAAAACATTGTCAAGATGGTCCTGGCCATCTCAATTACTTGCCCAAGTGCATGCAATCAAGTAGCTCAGTATATGGACCATCGGCTTGATGATGAATTCATGCCATTCAATCCTGATGCACCAAGCTTGCGTTATCACAGCGCAAAAATATACAGTGATATGCTTGATGTAGTTTGTACACGGTGATACATGTACTAGTGGAACTATTGAAAACTTGTATTTTTTTTGTGTTACAAACAGATAAATCCATGGACAAATACAACGTTGATAGTTTATATGTTACATTATGATACCTAATACCTGTCGATTTCTCAGATGAAGGTGGACTTTATCAGCACTTATCATAGTGACATTCAAGGGGTATTGGGCCTTATCAAAGCTTTAGAAAAAATATTTTCAGAACTGGAAGTGAAAAAAATTGTGCATGCAAAAAATGATTGGGCTTATGACTGATGGTGAGAGTGCCAATACTGGACAACAAGGTGGTTTTTGGGTGAAGTTATCTAAATATCTTTGTTGTAGTTTGCTTACATTTTGGTGTTTTGGACTGAATTTAGATACTGGAAGGCTGATTTGAAAAGTGTTGCTACCTACTGTTGGTCATCAGCTAGGTGTTTTTCTGAACTCGTTCTTATCAGCAAGAAGTCAGATGCTACTGTATATGCTTTCCCAAAACACCACGAAGAGTGGCTTGCAGAATACCCGATGAACCTTGTAACAGCAGTTGTTAAGAATCAACTCCACGTGTGTAAACATTGGCAAAAGTTGGCCAATATAGCAAGACAGACAGAAATGAAAAGCAACAGGCTAGAGGCTTCTTAAAGATTTGGTTCACACAATCCACTAACATGAAAAGGAATCATATTCTTCTGGATTTATTGCATCATTCTATAGACCTACAAAAAGAAGTGCAACAAACGTTGATTATACTTCCCGATTTGCTAAACAAACAAGATCGTATCATCAGCACTTTGAATTTGATGCTACAGCAATCTTTCCCTGATGGTGAAGAGGAAAAGAACCAAGGGGCTGTCATTGAGCAAGAGCCTAGGTGAAGCACAATGCACAGCTTGGTGATGAAAGGAGGCTATGACTTGTCTGCCATCAGGATAGAGATTATCGAGTCTGCCAAAAACTTTCTGTCTGAGCATTTTGATCATGAACAAGGTATGCCCAAGTGTATGTTATGAAAGGAGTTGAAAATTCCACCAAGATGATTGATGCTGGGAGAAACCTTATCTCGAGCATATTCGGTCCTGAGTCAGTGAAAAAGTTTGCTGATGATGTGATGGGATTATACACAGTCCAGGGTACACGTACATTCAAGGAATCTGACACAATCACTGCAAAACTGTATGAGCTACTGAAAAAAGTCACAGCCTGGATCAGTGTTAAGTAAACTGATTCAAAAATTTATCATTACTTACCCACACAGTATGACCACTGAACGTGTCATTTGATAGCATACAGAAATGAAGAGCAATTTGCACTAAAGCATGTCGATGGAGACCGTGAACAATTGACTGTGCATAGCTCTAAGTTCTCCCAGAACTGCCCACTTCAACCCACACGTGGCAGTTGCCGACTTTTTAACAAAGAAATGCTTACTTTTGATTTATTTTAAATTTTTTTCTCTTTTCTCACACTTTTAACATCAGCTCACCAGTGCTGGATTTCTTGTTTAGTTCAGGTACTCAGTTCTTTATGGCTAATATTTCTTTTAATCTTAGCCATTGATGTTAAAATATAAAAAAAAGAAAAAATTTACATGTTTGAAATTACCTTGTGTTATTTATTTAAATATTAGTTTGTTTTATTATATTTTTCATTATCATACTAATTTTTACATAGTAATAAATTGATATGGTAAATAAAATATATTTTTATTCATCACCCAGTTAAAAATCTTTAGAGAAGGTCCTGCTTTCTGTATTCCTTAGTCTTCACTTTATAATGTTTTACAACATGATTTTCTGTTTTCCTTAGTCTCATTTTGTAATGCTTTACACAATGATTTTCTGTTTTCCTAGACATTGTATTCTAAATGAAAATGTGGTGATTGGTCGGGGAAGTAAAGTGGGTTCCCGATCTTCAATTATCAATTCTGTGATAGGCCATGACTGTGAGATAGGTAAGTTGTGAGTTGAACTCGAAACAGCATCTTAAGCTTACTAGTTTTTAACATGTGTTCATCTTTTGTCATGTGCTTAAGCCTTTTGTTACTAGCTGTTTTCAGTTAAGACAAGTTGATACATAGATAGGCAGAAACACATAACTAATAAACAACTGATCATATTAGTCAATTTGGTAATAAGACCACAACAGACTGTACTTTACTTGTCGAATGAAACTGTCTTGCCTTGATGTGATACACTCCGCTATCTCAATTCAGCTCAGCCATAACATCAGACAGTTTCTTTCTTTCTTTTTAAGTAAAAGGTATACAATAGGCTACATTCTGTCGTGATTGTATGGCTGAGTTGAATTGAGCTAGCTCGGTGGATCACATCAAGACAGTTTCAGTTAACAACTAAAGTATATTCTGTCGTGATCTTATGGCTGAGTTGAATTGAGCTAGCTGGGTGGATCACATCAAGACAGTTTCAGTTAACAACTAAAGTATATTCTGTCTTGATGCTGTGGCTGAGTTGAATTGAGCTAGCTCAGTGGATCACATCAAGACAGTTTCAGTTAACAATTAAATTATATTCTGTCATGATGCTGTGGCTGAGTTGAATCAAGCTAGCTGGGTGGATCACATCAAGACAGTTTCAGTAACAATTAAATTATATTCTGTCATGATGCTGTGGCTGAGTTGAATCAAGCTAGCTGGGTGGATCACATCGAGACAAAACAGTTTCCATTGGCAGCTGAGAGATATTATATCAAGGGATTCTACTAGCTTAGATTAATTAAATACCTGAAAGAGCAAAAAAGGAAAAACAAAAATATGGTGTAAATGTTGAGACTGTTACACTTCTGCATTTGAAGTTCTATTATCAAGTAATTTTGCAGGTTGCATAGCTCAGAACTTAGTCTGTTCTTTGGTTAAATATTTGTAGCACATGTTTTTATAAATCATGCAAACTTTGTAATTCTCTAAAGTATTAAAAGTCAAGGTAATATCTGAGAATTATCTGTCCTTTTGTGGTTACAGTGAAAAGCACAAGTAATTCAGAACACTTGTGGGGTTAATGCCAGAATCAGTGATAACTGTAATTTGATCTTGTTAATATAGTGTTCCTAAATTATTTCAGGGAGTAATGTGCACATTGATGGGTGCTACATGTGGAACAATGTGAAAGTAGAAGATGGGTGTATTTTACAGTCTTGTCTATTAGCTAACAATGTTGTTGTGAAAAAAGGAGTCACCATTCATGCTGGTTCTGTACTCTCCTACAATGTAAGTTTACATAATCATTACCATTCAACCTGGTTATTTGTCTCATCAGTTTACCAAAAATCAAAACATGCTGTTAGAAAGTAGTAATCTTTTGTTTAATAAGGGACAGAACGTGTTATTGAAGAGAGTTAGTTTTTAAAAGCTGTTATATATTTTGCTATAGTTGTAACATATTCAATCATTGGGCTGGAAATATTATGTGAAAACAATGTGAAGCACAGTTCATGTGACGATAACGAACTAATTGATTTCCTGTATTTATTTCTTTGTTTCAGCCACATTCACATGTAGGCCCAATTTCATAGATATACTTGTCAGCATAAACTTCACAACTAAATATAAGGATCACTTTAAATACAATGTTTCAATATAAATTGTAAGATGTTCAGCTAACTTTAACTTTGATAGATAAACAAGCATATAACTCATCAGGTAACCAAATAGCAGAATAGACAAGATAACTTTAACTTTGATAGATAAACAAGCATGTAACTCATCAGGTAACCGAATACCCATGTAACTCATCAGGTAAAGATAACTTTAACTTTGATAGATAAACAAGCATGTAACTCATCAGGTAGCTGAATAGCAGAATAGACAAGATAACTTTAACTTTGATAGATAAACAAGCATGTAACTCATCAGGTAACCAAATAGCAGAATAGACAAGATAACTTTAACTTTGATAGATAGACAAGATAACTTTAACTTTGATAGATAAACAAGCATGTAACTCATCAGGTAACCAAATAGCAGAATAGACAAAATAACTTTAACTTTGATAGATAAACAAGCATGTAACTCATCAGGTAACCAAATAGCAGAATAGACAAGATAACTTTAACTTTGATAGATAAACAAGCATGTAACTCATCAGGTAACCAAATAGCAGAATAGACAAGATAACTTTAACTTTGATAGATAAACAAGCATGTAATTCATCAGGTAACTGAATACCAGAATAGACAAGATAACTTTCACTACAAACACTGAAGTGAACTACTAACTAACTAAATTTACTGATTACTTATATTTATAACGTATTCTTATTTTTACAATGGCATAAAATTTCTAGATTATTACATCATCATGAACTTTCTAGGTATCCTGGAACTGATCTTTACAAACTTTCTAGATCTACTGTTTTTATCATGATTAGCAGCTCCCTGTAGCAAACAACTAAATTATAACATTGAAAATATAGCTTACAACACTGTCTAGCATGAGCAGAATGTTAAAATTAAGCTGAACATTTTATAAACATAGTTTAATATTAATGAAACTTGCTGTGTGGATCTGTCTTTTCACTTAAGTACTACTTGACAAATAGACCCATGTCTTAATAAAAAAAAACAAATTTTAAATTGATAAGTTTGATTTTCAAGGAGAGATTCTGAAAACTTAATGAATCTGCTTAGAATATTATTAATATTTTTAGAAAATTCAGAATTTATCTTCAGACTAATAAATTTAAGACAAATACTGATGGTATGCTACGTAATAGGTCAGGAAATCAAGCACTTGCAAGCCAATTCAAAAATAGTAAGGTTGGGATTCTGGCTATTATGGATCTCTACTTCACATTATAAAGAAGTATTTTTTAATCCATCAATGTTTGGTACAGTAGCCAGTTCAACACTAGTAAAGTTGGGATTCTGGCTATTATGGATCTCTACTTCACATTATAAAGAAGTATTTTTTAATCCATCAATGTTTGGTACAGTAGCCAGTTCAACACTAGTAAAGTTGGGATTCTGGCTATTATGGATCTCTACTTCACATTATAAAGAAGTCTTTTTTTAATCCATCAATGTTTGGTACGAGCCAGTTAAACACTAGTAAAGGTGGGATTCTGGCTATTATGGATCTCTACTTTACATTATAAAGAAGTCTTTTTTTAATCCATCAATGTTTGGTACGAGCCAGTTAAACACTAGTAAAGGTGGGATTCTGGCTATTATGGATCTCTACTTTACATTATAAAGAAGTCTTTTTTAATCCATCAATGTTTGGTACGAGCCAGATCAACACTAGTAAAGTAGGGATTCTGGCTATTATGGATCTCTACTTTACATTATAAAGAAGTCTTTTTTAATCCATCAGTGTTTTGTTTATTTAAGTATAAAAGAAGTAATGTCATCATCACAGAAAATCATGCACTCAATCAAATAAGTCCTCCACCAGCAACAAAAAACATCAGCTACTTGGTTTGAAAAGTACACACTTGACCAGCTGTGTCCTCCACCAGCAACAAAAAACATCAGTTACTTAGTTTGAAAATTACAGTTTTATTATTTAAGATATCAATTCTGTGTTTGGTCTAATTACAGTAAACATTATTAAACTACTATGTTTTGTTTCACCCTTTAGGTTGTAGTTGGGCCTGATATTACTGTTAAGTGCTCAACTCTTTTACAAGCAGAACCTCCTTCTGTTGACATGGATGAATTTGGTGATAACGAGACCCTTGAGCCCAGTGATTCTATAGGTAAAGCTAAACAAAATATCACATTTATAAGTTCATAAACTGTCTAAATGATTACTTGCAGATCATAGTTTGACATTTAGCCAGATCAGCCTTAGGTTTATTTCTCATGAAATGTTTGTTGTTCTTAATTATTGTATAGCTTATCCTTTGAAGAAAAAAAATGTATCAACCTGTAGGTCACTGTGAAAGTCACAACTGACGTTTTACAGTTTTATATCTGGAATTTGAGTCAGAATTATCTTTAATTTTAACTCTCTCAACATGGGCTTGGTCAATTTGACCAACCACGTGATGTCTTTATATATTTAATACTTCTAACTTTCAGTATAGTATGTACATCTTCACTAAACTTGGCAGTCTTTCAGTTAACACTATAATAAGTCTCTCACATACAAAAAATCATATTTTTAGTGAAGTATTTTTAATAAACTAAACTATAGATTCGTCTATGAATATATCGAGTATTTGTTTAGTATAGTCCGTGTGCTAAGTAATTTTCATGTTAAGATTAAAAATACTTTTCTTCATCTCAAATTTCATTTGTGTAATCTAAACTCTCTTAAATACATTTCAAATGTTTGTTTCAGTAAAATTTTACATTTTATCTGTTATTTTCTCTACTCTAACTCTATACAATGTGACTGACCTCGTAACCTCCCCCCAAAAATATTTAAATCTAAATTATCCTCTTTTCTTTCTATAATGACTTCAGTCGTAGTGTGAAACTACATTCATTTATCCTAAATAGCTTTAAACTTCTAACAGTATTCATCTATTTATAATTAAATTTTATTGTTTTATTGCCCCTTGTACCATGTCTAACTACTATCCACACCATTATAAGTTGTAAATCACTCGGGAAACGTGGAGCTTGTGTTACATTATTGAATTACCTTACCCACGAGCTGCTCACATGTTTACCTTGTGAAACATTTTTATGATATTATTATTTATTTTACCTAATCTGTCCTTAACTAACCTAAAGAGATCCATATTTTTACATTTTAGTTACTTTTATAATAATAACTAAAGAAGAAACATGAAAAACAAGAAATAAAGTACTTACCCAATCTTCTTTATTATTGCTGTTGATTGTCAATGACACTTAACCCTACTTTTTTATACAAATGGTAGTAATGCACTAAATAATTTTTATTTAATTAAATAATGCATCAAAGAACATAGAATAATAACATGCAAAAAGTAGACAATTTTGCCTAACTCTCAAAATTTTTCTGGCTTTCTAACTCTGCGACAAGAGCCAATACAAATACATCCAAGCTAGTTGTTAGCTTCCCCACAGGAACAGGGCTTGTACTCTGAGTGAAATTGATAATTATCTGTTCAGAACACAACATTATACAGTACATCGTTAGATAGACTAAAACCTTGGCTTTCTATTGGTTATATGTAATATATAATTAAATGTAAGAGAGAGAACTATTAACAAATCCTGAAAGAAAGGATGTGACAGGTGGGTGCGGCAGGGGTCTGATTTTCTATTTGATAGCTCTGTAACCAAACAAAATTGTGGCTATAAAAGTTATGGTTTGTCTGAGCAATGACAATTTAATAGTGAGTAATTACTTTTAATTTTGTACTTTTTGATGAGTCATGGATAAAATACAGATGCATAGAGAAAATGTGTTGTGTGTCACACTGGGGGTAATTCAAGATTTTGTGTTGTGTGTCACACTGGGGGTAATTCAAGATTTTTTTAAATATTACCTTGTAGAATTAAGAACTTAAATCTTATATACTATTAAAATATAGATTAATAGCTGAGATTTTTATGCTATACTAATTGGAATAAACTAAAGTAGTTTAATAGAATTTTGAATGTAAGACTTTAAAACCTTGTGTCATGTGCAGTAAAGGATACCCGTGGCAAGAGGGTTAATGGGTTTAAGTCAGTATTATATTTTATTTTAGAGCAGATTTTAAGGTCTAAGAAGGAATAATCTCTTCTTTTTTATAGCTTTATAAGTATAATTGGAATCTTGATTATCTTGTCAGCAATATATATTGTAAACTCAAAAATATGGATACCAGTAGATAATATTGTTGGTTCTTAATTAAAGACAGGTGAGATCAAAGTAAAGTTTTTCTAACACTCTTGCATTAACTATACTTTGAGATTAGTGGTGGATATATCCGGAACTAATGTTTCAATTTAAACTTTCAGTTGTTGATCCAAATCTAGTAGGAGCTGAAGGCAAGGGTTTTTTGTTTCATTCATCATGTGAGAGTGATGATGAGAATGATGAATTCCCTAAAGATATCTGGGGACAAACTTGTCAATCTGGAAGTGAGGGTGATGAGACTAGTGTTCCAGATTCAGTTGAAGAACTTTCTGATGGGGATAGCCCTCCTCCAGATGACTTACGATGTAAGTGTATCATTAATCTGTTGTATTAAATCTAATGCTTGTTATGTTGTACAATGCCTGTGTGTTTTTTGTATTACCTGTGAGTTTGTTATGTTATATTAACTAAGTGCTTATTATTTTGTATTATCTCTTAAGTGTTTATTATGTTGTATTGCCTGTAAGTGTTTATGTTGAATAGTGAGTTGAGTATCTTATATTAAAATAATTTCAGATATACAAATCAGCAGGAGATACAATATAAACTCAGACTGTATCAGGATCACATTGTTTGGCATTTCATAGGTAGTATGATGCTATTGAAAATTGTAACAGGAAACTACAGTTGTTTATCCTAAATAGTTTAAAGCTTGTAACAGTGTGTAACTATTTCTACTTAAATTTTATTGTTTTAGTGCCCTTTGGACTGTGTCTAATTATTAATCTAGCGACACTAATTGTAAATCACTTGGTGTTTGTATAGCTCATGTTACTATATTGAATTACGTAACACACAAGCTACTCCAAAATATACCATGTGAAGAACTTTTATTATTATTAATATTTTACCTAATCTAACTTTATCTAACCTAAGGTTTATCATTTTTACATTTTAGTTACTCTTATAATAATAAATAAAGAACACACTTGAAAAACAAGAAATATAGTACTTACCTGGGTCCTCTTGTTTTTTATGCTGTTGATAAAACTTAAAGCTTACTTTTTTATATTAATGGTATTACTACATTAAATAATGCACCTAAAAACACAGAATAATAACACATACAAAGTATACAATGTCCAATAACTATCATAATTTATCTGGCTTTCTAACTATGTAATAAGAGCCTTTAAAAATTAAACTAACTTGTCAATGTAAATACCATGAGAAAAAGTTTCAAACTAAAGAAAACAATGTAATATAATATGCCATTTGATGGATTAAAACTTTGGCTTTCTATTGGTTAGAAATACTATAGTATAGAACATTATAGAGAACTGTTGATGATTAGTGAAAGAGAAGATGTGATGTGTGGGTCTGATTTTCTAGTTTATGGCTCTGTAGACAAATAAGATTGATGGCTCTAAAAATTATACTTTGCCTGAGTAAAATCTGTATTGTAATGAGTAATTTACATTAAATTCTTACTTCTCAGAGGAGTGGTAAATAAATTGGAGAAGAGGGAAGATCTAAAGACCAAATGTCACGATTCTTATACTAGGGGAAATTGAGGATTTTTAAACTATTTCCTTATAAAATAAGAACTAAAACATTTATATAATATTAAAATTTGGGCTGTTAAATAATTTTTATTGTCAAGTTTAATCTTATACAGTGATAATAAAATAGTTTAATTCAATTTTGAATGTAGCTCTAAATAGTCTTGACATGCATGCTTTGACTTTCCCTTGGCAAAGTGTTAACATGTGATGTGGAACCTAGAACACTAAGGTCAGTGACAAAAGCTTTCCGCATGCCTCAGGCAACAGTGTGCAACATAATCAAGAAAGGTTTTCAACTGGAAAGGTGACACAACTCATGACATATTTGTTCAAATGTTACATACTTCAAGCAGCTGGAAAATGAAACAGGTATTTGTGCTATTCCATGCAAAGAGATGCTGGTAAAGTCTCCATATGCAGCACCTATGGATTTCCATGCAATTGGACTGTTCAAACAGATGCTTGGAAACCCTCATCTTCATACACTAGATGGCTTGTGGAAAGCATGTAGGGCAGAGTGATGTTCAATAGAAACTATACTGTATGGCTTATAGTAAAGATAAACAATCATTGATATAGCATGACCAAACATGGTGACATGTATGGTAATGATGTGGTGAGGCTCCAAAATCATTTAAATATAATCATGTACATGGTTGTTATATTATATTACCTACTTGTAACATCCTTGCTTAGCATTTCTGTATGATTGTCTGAGTACTTTTTACAACTTTAGTGCAGTTATTCATTAGTAAAGACTTCTAACAAACATACAGGGTTTGAATGCGTGAAGTTCATACCTTTTTTTTGTCCTTTTGAAGTGTTTTACAGTGAGGTTTTAGACAGTTTGCTCAGAGGAATTGAAGAGAAAGTGAAGTGGGAAAATCTGGTGTTAGAAGTAAATTCTTCCAAGTAAGTTTGGGAATGATTTAGATTTTGTTGTGTTAAATAAAATTGTGAATTATATTTCTGCTTGATATGTGTTTATGAAATGATTATACCTTAATAACCAAATTTTTGTTTGATAAATATTTTTGCTATATTCTAATTATGTACATAAAATTTATTTTTATGTACCTTCTTTGAGTTTCTCTATGGTTCATTTCTAGCAGTAGGTTTTCTGTTCATTCTTCGAGTTTCTCCATGATACATTTCTAACAGTAGGTTTTCTGCTCATCTTTGAGTTCCTCTATGGTTCATTTGTAAGTAGGATCATTAATTAGTAGATGGATACATTTATATAAAGTTTTCATATCTCACTACACTGGATGTAACATAAAAATTGGGGTAACACGGGCTGAAAGGTAAGACTTGGGTTAATATTTGGTATAAGAAAAACTGGTTAAGATTGAGTTTAGGATAAGACTTGGGTTAACATTGGGAGTGGAATAATACTTGGGTTAGCACTGGTTATAGGATTAGACTTGTATTAATATTTGGTATAAGAAAAACTGGTTAAGACTGAGTTTAGGATAAGACTTGGGTTAACATTGGGAGTGGAATAATACTTGGGTTAGCACTGGTTACAGGATTAGACTTGTATTAATATTTGGTATAGGAAAGACAAAAAAAGAAATAACTTGAGTTGAACCATTTACTGTGACTACAGTGTCAGTTCAAATGGTGTTGACATTGTAAAGAAACATCTTTATCTTCAAAGAGTGACTGCAAGTTTTTGTAAAACAAATTAATTTTGGTTATTATGATATGTGAAAGTATTTATATATCTTAGTACAAAAGATGTTCTGAATTCATTGTGATGTATCATCAATCCTACACCATGTGTACAGAGGATACTCACAATCTATGGTAACAATACAAGGATATCACAATGTATCATCAGTCCTACACCATGTGTACAGTGGATACTCACGATCTATGGTAACAGTACAAGGATATCACAATGTATCATCAGTCCTACACCATGTGTACAGAGGATACCCACGATCTATAGTAACAATACAAGGATATCACGATGTATCATCAATCCTACACCATGTGTACAGAGGATACTCATGATCTATGGTAACAGTACAAGGATATCACAATGTATCATCAGTCCTACACCATGTGTACAGAGGATACTCATGATCTATGGTAACAGTACAAGGTATATTCACAATGTATCATC